ATTTACTAATAAATTGTTTCAGTTGATCATGGGTGCGTTGAAGTCTCCGGTTATCAGTACCTCTTGGTTTTGTGTCCCCTCTTTAATTAACCCAGATGTCGCCTCGTCAACCTCAGGAGTCTGTTTGGGCGGCCTGTATACGGTCAGGAAATTCAGATATATATTCATCTTTTCTAGCTGCTAGTCCAGACAACCACTGTAAGCCTCTTGGGAAACACGAACATACACTACGACCAATTCCTAGCAACTGCCTTAATAGACTTACAACGGGCAACTAGTAGACTTTAGTACATGCGTTAATCGTCTCGACTTCAGAGGTCGTTTCGCCAGATCCTTCGGACTGCTTTGCTGTATAAACTATGAGAAAGGGTTCTCCAATCGATTGATTGTGTTGAGTGATGGATATTTTTGCACAATCGTCCAGGCAGTCAGTCGCCAGATAGCGATGGGTATAAATGTATTTTATTGAGAAATACAGATAAAATAAGAACAAGTAACAGGATTACAGCTTAGATAATATCCTCAACGAGAGTCAATCACGGAGGGGTCTCTCGGACAATAAATTTCGGATCTATGTTTGAGGGAAGCACAGGGGGCGTAGAGTTGGAAGTCGATATGGGGGATGAGACACAGTCTTCAAAAGTCGACTCTGAAATCACAAAAACACTGCGGCTGTTCTGTCTCTCTTTCGGGGGTCACTTTTATTAAACAGGAAAGGATCTGTTCGCCTTTTCCCATCACACTTCCCTCCTGCTAAGTGAGGACCTTGTCTGCAGGCTCCCGGTGGACGTGCAGTGGTGAGTCTTGTATGGTAATCTCGTTGGAGGGTTATGGGATTAAGTGTTCGGGAATAACAGGCAGGCCGTAATCGGATGCGAGGGGTAGCCGTCCTTGGAAAGGTTTTAATTTGTCGAAATGAACTATCATTGATGGGCTGTCGGGCATAATAACGCCCGTATGATGCATGTGGTGAGTAGGGGGATTCAAAGAATGTGAAAAGGGCCATCCCATGGATGGTGGAACTTTGCGGATGTGCCGACCGGGGGAATAGGGCGGTATCACAAAACAAGATCACCTGACTGTTATGTGTTTCCATGAACTTCTGCGTCGAAGTTTTCTTTTAGCCTATGGCATGCAGTGTCTAAATCTTCGCGCGCCAAGTTATTTGTGATTCTCAAAAGCTCTTGTCTTTCAAGCACATATGAGCCGAGAGAATACGTCTCTGACTCCGTGGTGGGTAGGTGTGAATCAGTGAGTAGTTGAAAAATGCGTCCGGTAACCATGTAAAAGGGTGAGTATCCCGCGATTGAATGGACCGTTGCTCGATATACCATCAAAACGTAGAATAATCGGTCGTCCAAATTAAACGGTTGGTGGTCTTCTGCGAAGGCTTTTAACAGGTATATAAGAGTCCTTCTCCTACGCTCAACTTGTCCGTCTCCTTCTGGGTGGGCTGTGGTCGTTTGAGTCTTGCGAATGTCTAGTTGGTCGCATGCGTCTTGCCCTAATCCACTTTCAAAGTTAGCTTCATAATCTGGGCGGAGCGAGATAGGAGCTCCAAACCAGCAGATCCAGTCATTAAAGAGAGCAATTGTCATTGATACTGCATCTTGTCTGCGAAGGGGTACTGCTTCTGCCCGTTTGATGAAGAAGTCGACCATGACTAAAATATACTGATGTTCGGAGGTGGAATAGGGTAGTGGTCCAATTGTGTCGATACCAACTCGGTGAAATGGAAAACATGTGAGCACTGACCGTGGAGGGGCACGGAACCATTGATGTGGCGCTTTAAAGGACGCACGGGTAGGACATGTGTTGCATAATATGATAACTTGTTCACGTAGATGGGGCTCCAATAATTGATGTCGGACTGGTATTTCGGTTTTGGCTTGACCCATACGACTTAGTTCAGGATGGAGATCGATGAGGACTAGAATTACCGGGCTTCGGGGCATAACAATTCGAGGTGTGGAATTCATGGTATCTTTGATGAAAAGCAAGCCATTGCCAATGAAAAATTGACCATCGATTGCGCAGGGAGTGTGCGACCTCCGGTGATCCTCTGAGGCGCTATCAGTCGGTCGATGTTGGCCCGTATGTGGAAGATTATATGCAATGACCGTTTCGGGGTCGGTGCTCTGTGCCACGGCCCGATGATGGCGTATGGGTGCGCTGATGTGTAATGCATTCAGTGGACCGTGTGGCGTCTGGTTCTCATCCGTTGCCTCGTCGAAACGGCGGGACAGGTCGTCAGCCTTGGTGTGATTAGTTCCTGGGCGGTACTGACACGAGAAGGTGAATTGTTGGAGGATTTCATGTCATCTGGCCAACTGTTTTTCGGCGTCTTTTGTGTTCTACATCCACTGTAACGCTTTATGGTCAGTTCAGATGATGAAAGGTTTGCCAATTATAAATGCACGGAACCGTTTGGCGAATATTATTAAGGCCAGTAGTTCTCGGCGGTAGGTACAGTAGTTACGCTGAGGCTTAGACAACGTCTTACTGGCAAAGCATACGGGTCGCTGTGTTCCCGTGGAATCAGCCTGGGATAGTACCACCCCCATAGCGACCTGCTGGGATCCGTGTAAGTTATAAACGGGGATGCGTTGGTTTCTGTATTCGGCAGTGCGAGTGCGGATGCGGAAATAGGCGAGCCCTTAGTTCGTCGAAGGTGGTTTGACTTTCTGTAGTTCAGTTTAATTTTCGTCCTTTCTCTGTTAGCCGATGCAGCGGTCGAGAAATCGATGCGAAATGTATGATGAATTTTCGATAGTACAACGCTAGTTTAAAAAACCGGCGGAGTTCGGCCGCGGATTAAGAAATGGTCATATTTGGACAGCAATAATTTTCTCTGGAGAAGCGTGAATGCCTTCTCTAGAGATCTCATGCCCCAAATACGTAATCTTACCCCACAGTAAGGTGCACGTCTGTGGATTAAGACGTAATCCTGCGTTGCGTAGTGCTGCTAAGACAGCCAAGAGGTTCTGGTTATGGCGTGTTATCGAGCGCCAAAAATATGACATCGTCTAGATACACTAGACACTGGTTTGGTAGTAAGTGGGCCAGTACTAACTGCATCAAGCGTTGGAAAGTAGCTGGTGCATTACATAAGCCAAAGACCGTTGTTTAGAATTCAAATAGCCCTTTTGGAAGGGTATACGCTGTCTTGTGGCGGTCGGTAGATTCGATTTCTATCTAACAGTGTCCCAACTTCAGGTCCAATGTAGAAAACCAGCGCACATCTGCTAACGCGTCAAGGGTAACATCGATGCAGGGAAGCGGAAAAAAATAGGTAGTCGTCATCGCGTTAAGTCTTCAGTAGTCGCCACAAAGGCTCAGTTAGCCATGTTTCTTGACATTAGTGTCACGAGAAATGTTCACAGTGACTTCGACGACCGAATGACTCGGTTTGTGAGCGTCGGGGCAATAAGCTTGCTGAATTCCTCATAGAAATGGGCTGGTATCCGTCGAGGTGGCTGCCACACCAGGTTAGCACTACCCGTCTCGATGGAATGACATAAGTATGCAGTCCTACCTAGCGAATTCTCATCCCAGGCGAAGATCAGGTAAAATGACAACGGAGCCTTAGAGTGGCCTGTGGCTCCTCCAGTGTCAGCAGGCTTAGAGCTGCGGCCATGATGTACTGTTGTCTCTTACATGTGTGACTTCCAACGATTGTGGGGATTTGCTAATCAGATGAGTTCTCAAATTAAGTCCTATTGACAGTCTGTGAAGAATGTATCCAGTGGTTTGGTGAATCCGTCAGTGTGGACGCGAAGATATGGGTGAGGAATACAACACGGTTTACTAGATTATTTTGCGACGCATGATGCATCCCCGATGGTCTAGCGGTTAGGATTCCTGGCTCTCACCCAGGCGGCCCGGGTTCGACTCCCGGTCGGGGAGCTACTTTTCACCATCCGACACTGATGTTTCTTCTTCTTCCTTCCTCTTTGCTGAGTGCGCCAGCCAACTTTGGCCTTTCAGAGCTTTGACACGGTACCAGTGCAACGCTCGACATGTTGGTTGGGGCACTTTAGGCAACGCATGTCCTGTTAATTAACAGAAAAGGTAAAGCACAGGACAGTAATGCTTGCGCTCAGTATGGGTTAACCTATACTATTGAGTTTTAACCCTGCTAGCACCAGCCTCGTCCAGCCCCGTGAAGCCCTCGGGGCCAGATGGGGCTATGTCCCATATGGGCGGGGCTACGCACGGGGCTATGACGGGGCTGTGGACGCGATGGCTCCGTTCTCGAAAAAAAAACGCGCAGGAGGACGCCATCCTCTCCGTGACATTAACCCTACTTTCACGTTATCGGTATTTTACCTTGCTAATTCTCCGTACAATAGGTTATACTATTATATAATACGCAATCGATAGACGACTAAAGAACGACAACCAATGAAATGCCAGGTTGCATGAGCGAGGCGGCCAATTACGTGACAGACATACATATCTCGATAAATCGCTATTCACGTATATCTACTCGATATCTATTGCTACTAGGGATACATCGGAACGCGGAACACCCATACACCTTACGTATGTACATGTACTAAATGTTACCCGCCCTCATTTACTATAGTGATTGTGCCGACAAATCAAATGTGTCCCGAGGTCTACACGAATAAAAACAATGGACAGCAAGTATGTGCATGTGGAAGTTTATTGAACATGTAAAATAAAAAAGGTGGAGGAGTATCTACAGAGGGCATATGAGATACAGATATGTATTGTTCTGTCAATTATACAGGCTAAACAGCATATATTTAACGATAAGAGGGCAAAATTTGTCCGATAGAAGGCAGAATGACGTCATTAGAAAGTTTGGAATTTCATCAAAATTGGACGGGGCCTAGCCCCATATAGTCCCGAATTGCCGCGGGGCCATGTGTTGACAGGGAACGTTTTCTTTTCTATCTCGAAGAACTCAACGTAGGCGTGTCGAGAGAGAGTTTAGAAATCATATACGTGAAAGTGCCGAGAAATTGAGGGAGATGTACCCGCCCAAGTCATCAGCTTCGTCGAGAGTTTCATCCACCTACACTCAGTCAATAGACGCCCCAACGTCCTCTTCGGAGGACACATCAACCTCGACGACTGAACAGTGGCACAGGTATTTTGAAGAGCGTCCGATGTCCTTCCCAACGGAGGTGGATGTAACCGCACGCGACCTGCTGCGAACCTGGACAGTTTGTTCCCGAATACCCCACCAGTATCTGACAAATCTGCTGAAGATTTTGAGGCAGATGAAGCCAGACGACGCGTCAAACATGCCCTTCGACGCCCGAACACTTCTCGGCGGAGCAGGCGATCTGCCACCGGTAACGGCATTTGGCAGCGGTAAGTACGTTCACTTAGGACTTGTAAAGCAGTTGACTGAGCCTTTCCCATGCAGGTGATAGGTTATGAGACAGTAGCGTACTTAGCCATCGACGGTCTTCCTATTCATATGAAAACCAAAAGAGAATTTTGGCCATATTTAGGCAGAATTATCCAGCCCTTTGTTAGTCAAATTTTTGCAGCAGGAATTTATTGTGGGCAGGGAAAGCCGCCCGGTGTTCAGTCATTTGGCAGACCGCTAGTAGAAGAGTTGGGAACCCTTGCAAGTTCTGGTCTGCGTGTCGACGTCATCGACAGAACTCTGCAATTCCGTCTGACAGCCGTTATCTGTGATGCGCCTGTTTGGGCATTCATTAAGCAAATTAAGAACGTTACTGCGTACTACGGTTGTGAACGGTGCTATGTAAAAAGGAAATACCTTGAAAAAGTAGTCTACGACAGTGTCTCTGAGCCTGCTAGGACGGATGAGGAGTTCTTGTCTCTTGCTGATGGCAGTCATCGAGTTGAAATTTCACCTTTGCTAGCTTGTAATCTTGGAATAATGAGTTCATTTCCTTTAGAACCCCTTCGTTTGGTTTACCTGTGTGTAATGAGAAGGCTGTTGAACTTGTGGCTTCGAAGCCGCTTTTGTAGGCTCGTGGACCAAGCTCAAGTTGTGTCCAGTCAGTGTGTGCTGCATTTGTCGAGGGGTGGTGTCCCAGTGGCTTTGGTTGTGGTTGCAGGGGGGCAGTGCGTTCAAGTGGCCTCATGGGCAGCTGCAGCTGTTCGGGCGCAGGTATTCCCGAGCTTTCGGTCGTGTAACTTCAGGTCAGCGCGTCTGAAACGGCTCATTGCAAGAGGACGAATGACCTTAAGGCAGCGAGGTCTTGAGCGGTGACGCCAGACCGGTCATGATGTCTGCCCGCTACATAACTTAATTCTAAGCGGGGGACGCTGCGTTTCTTACAAGAAAAGAAAAACGATTGCAAAAGAGGAAAAACGGCAAAAATATAAATAATTGTACAGACTGAAGAAAAATGAAGTCCTTTCCAGTATCAGTTGTTGAAACGTGGATGCTAATCGGGGGTTTACCTTAATGGCTTGTCGATATCGAGGCAACATACTTGTATAGTCGCTTGCCGAGATTTGCGCCCATATCGTTCTTATTGGTCAGCCGCCCCTTTGCACTTCGCTCTGATTGGCTGGCGAACTTGTCGCGATGCGTGCACATCACGCGAAGGGCGCCATTACGACATGCTTTGCCGTGACATGCGCGCGTGACTCTGCTGGCGTAACTTTATAGCTGCCCACTTCATTTCTTCTATGGTTCCATATCCGTTTAATTTTAATCATTTTAACTAACGTTATGTTAAGGCAGGTATCTCGGCAGACGGTAAGAAAACACATTGCGCAGATGCCATACCTCCTGCTTCCGAACGTAGCGGTAGGACGATCCCATTCCCTATACGCTCTTTAGCTGCCAAAGTAACAAACGTCCAGGATAACGGGGATGTACTTAGCTCCTTGGATGTTGTGAACGCCCCATCAGATATCTTGGCTAGGCGACAGCTATGGAAAACGGAACTTTTGCCGGTGTTCCTAACTCGAGTAAAGAATAGGGAGAAGTTGCAAGCTAATCCGGTTGCGCTCCCAACTCCCTAAATCCGGCCACTGAGAGGCCTGTAGCTGCTTACACTATCGAACGACCGATCAACAGTCGGTCAGATTTTATGGAAATCAGTGGGAGACCGATGAACTTAGACTTTCGCCAGCAACTGGCATGCAAAATTCTTTTCACCTATCTCTCCCATTAGGCGCCATATCCCATGTCCTATTCGGTTCGAAGTTGTACGAACCAATTATAGGTGAATAACTGCATGTTCTACTAAGGTTACTTCACGCAGATATCTACTGATGGTGGAGCAGAGGGGAACGTGTCGACCTCTATGATTTGGGGGCCGCCTTTACCAAACGCCTAAAGCGATCTCTGAACGCGGCGGGTGAAAGGCTTCAAAGAAGTCAGACAGCCTCAGAAGCAAATGGTTAGCCAATTGTACACATATCATACATATGCCTAAGTTTCAGAACTGGTAGTCAGACCGTTTACTTCAACACCGCCACGTGACGGCATCTCATGAATATGGTCTGTTCCTGTCACGGATGCTGGCTTTCAACGTCTTTTTTACATTTACTGCGTACTACTGACAAGCAGTTTGTAAAATACCTCTTGCTTTTCGTCCCAGTATAGTTGGATTCGGTTCGTGTTCAAAGTCCTCGAAAATGGCTAATACGCGATAAAACAAGTTACATGCCTACGGGAAATGTTAGTGGAAGTAAAGCATGGCGGATGGTATTAAAAGGAAGTGTTATACAGTAAATGTTTGTCTTGTGTGCACAATGCAAAAACCTTTTTTCGTCTGCGTCACTCTATCTTGACTTGTCGATATGAGGGGCATATCTACAAAGAGGTCAAAGTCGACATCCGGTCGATGTCCACGCAATATCCTGTCGATACCGACACGCTCTCAGGTGTTCGTCCTGTTTTGTGGTGTGGACTGTAACGGGTACAGCGTACATGGCATTGAGCCTGGACGAGAGGACGATAATTAGATAATATGGGAACTAACCCTCAGTAGGCCAAAGTGAAAGAGAAACTTTTCCTGAAACAGATGGATCAGGAACCACACAAGAAGCGTATCAGTAAAATTGATCCTCAGATATGCCTGAATGAGAGTGCTTACAGACATCCTTACTGTATAGTATGCATCAGGTCTCTTCATTGATATTTTCCATTTCGCTGGTGGGTTTCCAAGTCACCTAATTCTGTATGTAGCATAATATAATGTGACAGTTAGCCACTGGCTGTCGCCCGCGTGGCCTAATGGATAAGGCGTCTGCCTCCTAAGTAGAAGATTGTGGGTTCGAGTCCCACCGTGGGTGCACATTTTCGCAGCGAAAATATGTACTCTCGATTTCCTTATTAGTCAACGATGATAAATGGACGATTCCGGAAATAAACGTTAAAAGCGTACAGAATAAACGCCAAAATCCAAATGTTTGTAATATCAAGAAATATGTGCACGCCATGAAAGTAATGTAGAATACTAACTAATTGACGTACAAGCATGCTACTGGAAAAGTGACACGACATAAATTGTCTTCAAGTCCTAGTGTTGTGCAGTGAGGTGGACGTAGCAAGTATACTTCATACAAAAAGTTACTGAAATACGTGCGTATTTCAGTGACCAGTAGCTGCAGTACTACTGTGTGTACAGTAGTATGTTAAACTGGAATTGGTAGTCACCACAAGGCGTCAAGCTAACATCGGCCATTAGGGAGGTATATCGCGTCTAACTACTGGTTGTACCTTAAGCGCCACAATCCTGAAGCCAAGACATGAGTTCTGGAAGAGGACGAAAGATACCAGGAGAAATTTACTGTGTTCAGAAGCCTGCATCACTGTTCCGGGCAGCTGTGGCCTCTGGCCAGGCCAGGGCGTGTACTGACGGTTGCAAGTCACGCAGGAGGGAGAGATAAGCGACAACTACTTGTATAGGTGCATAGAAAATTCGCGTTTGTGCACGGCATTTCCTGAGAGCTTTCTGGAGTCATGTCATACGAGTCTGATTTTTTCACTTGAACTATGGGCCAAAGTATTGGACGAAGGCAATATGGCGCAAACCATCTACATTGACCTTAAATATGCCTTCGACAGCGTTCCTCACCAAAGTCCCCTGCATAAAATGCTTAGCGTAGTAGTGCGTGGAAGATTTCTTGAATAACCCCGGACCATTTGACTGGACGATTCCAAAGTGTACAGGTCGGACGCCAGCAGTCCTAAGAGATAACCGCGATGAATGACGTACAACAGGGCCCGGTTTTAGGCCCTATGCTGTTCCTCATTTTTAATAATGACTGCCTTAGGTACCACGACTGTGATGTCATCCTGTTCGCGGACGTCGTAGACTTGTGGAATGTTGTTCACGATACGGCAAACGGAGACCGCCTGCAGATAAACTAAAACAGACTCGAGGACTGGTCGAAGCGCTGGCTTACGCCCTTTGATGCAAGTAAGCGCAATTTTCTTCAACTTAGCAGCTGACGAGCCACCAGCTCGAGGGCTTATTTTCTAAATGGTACACCATTTAGAACCAGTTGATGGTCAGATGAACTTGAGTGTGTGGATTACATCTTCACTCACATCAACACTGAACTTCCCGAAGGTGGCCAAATCAGCCAAGTCTATATCGCAGCTCATCGGGGGAGTCTTTATATAAAGATTCCACATGGAGTTCGACAAAGACAGCTTCTCCTATTTATCTGGAATCTTCGTGCGGCTGTATCTAGAATACGCCATACAGGCGTGGGGACCTTGAACTGTCGGGGACTGTACCGTCTCAGAGAAGGTCGGAGGTGGGCGACAAAAGTAACCAAAGGTCTGGGAACATTGCCCTATGAAAACGAATTGTCAGCTCTCAACCTACCTCCCCTTTCCTGTAGGCGACTGTTAAGTGATCTCATACTAACCTTCCGCACTATGAATGACCTGGACTGTTGTTTTATCTTCGGTAATTTTTCGCCCAGGTTAACATGCCTACTTTGCGCGGCCATCCCCTAAATCTACACACAGGTAAAGAAAGGATCAGTGGGCGAAGGGTTTCCTTTGATGACAGGGTGATTGCGGCATGGAACTTCCTGCCTGCCGATGTTTTATCCCCCATTGCGTGGATTTATTTAATTGTAAACTCGACACTCATAAAGCTCCTCACTTGCCAGCTACACACCCCCTCGGGGCCAGTCACCCAGTTCATGTATGATCATATTACTTAGAGTAAGTGAGTAGGCTCAGACGTCCACTCTTTAAATGGTAGACAGCTGCTTGCCTTCGCATTCAATTATGTGGGCCATCTGGTTTTCAATTTTCCCTACTTATCGGTACTTCTTCCCGGACATTTTGTAGCCAATAGGGAATTCAGTGGCGTCCTACTATCTTCCCCTCAGTATAGCTAAACTGAACAGAGAGGGCAGGTTGGGGATGTCCAAAGAGGCTGACTTGTTCACCGAGTGTCCGTTGACACAGGGGACGGGACTGAAGCTGTTTGGTGTCGATGTTGTGGATAGGAAACGCTTGAGACCTGCCAGCTGCTCCTTCGATTTGCCAACGACAGCCCTGCTGACCCCATTGACCGTTGATTCAGTCATCATTGCAATTCTGCAGGTCATTTACGCGTAGATGAGGTCCCCTCAGGTCCTACGATTGATTTTTAGACTCCAGAGGAGAATTTTCAAAGTACCATTGTAACCTCGTTTCTGTCTTTCATACTGACGAGCATCCGCTGCGACGTCGCCAAAGAGAGGTGCCCACTGTCAACCTTCACGCTGAGGCTATCCCATCGTATTTAGATTTGCCTCACTATGGCGCGGATGCTAAGAATTCCGGTTTTTTCCCAGGACGTTCATGTCTGGGAATCTGTCTTGCGACCTCAGCCTTAGTATTCGCCGGTGACAGCAGGCGCGGAAGTAATGGGGTTGCCAGGGTTGTTTAACGTAGACTGTTCATATCTCCACCTAGAATAGCGGAGTTGCCAGATCTACTGCCCTCTGAATCTTGAGTTCGTGTCGAAGTGAAGTCCGTGGCGATACCAGACTGAGGGCTGTGGCCGACTAAAAGCTACCTGACTGCCTTAACAGGTTCCATAGTCAACTTCATCGTCGATCCTGACATTCCGTGAAACTGTACTTCCGAATGATGCGCATCTATCCCACTGATGAGAGTTTTGTTTCCCTAGCGTTGATATGAGGTCCCCTGTACCACACGTTGGGCATCGAGCGGTGTATGACCACGTCTTCTTCGTCCTGATGGTGAGTCTGAAATAAGAGCAGCCGGAGGCAAAGAGGCCGACATTCCGCTGCATGTCCTCTTCCGTCGTAGTACTTAAAGCGCGGTCATCTGTGAACAATCGGTGATACGCCGTGGCCTTGGATACCCCGGAAGATGCTTTTAGGCGACAAATGTTGAACAGCTTTTCGTAGATTTGGTAGTTGGTATCGATTTCCAGCCGTTCCTAATTACAGCCCTTCACTAGCAAAGCGCAGAACGTGAGACTGAACAAAGTCTGGGAGAGTATGCAGCCCTCCGTCACCGCCCAGTTAACCGCGAACGCTTTAGAGCCTGCACCTTCGTCCTTGACGTGATCCACCACCTTTTGCCTGAAGTGCTCCGGAAATCTAAGATTCGGCATCCTGTTCCAGAGTACTTCGCGGCTGACTACCCCAAAAGCCTTCGTTAAACATACAAGGGTGATAGGGAGGCTGGTCTTCATCTCTTAGTACTTCTCCTGTAGTTGGCGGCCGCGAAGATCCTATCGATGGCTCCACGACTCCTGAAACATCTACACTTTTTATCCGAGAGAAATCCTCACTCCAGGTGTGTTTTCATACTGTTGAGAATGAAAACGAAGGTATCCCATGCGGTGTTGTGTGACAAGATAACTCAGTAATTGTTGCAGAATAAACGGCTTCCATTGCTCTTGTCCGTATGTACAGTATTAGTGTCACCACATTTCCCGTAGAAATGAAGTTAGTTTGTGCATCAGTCAAAGACCGCCGTACCTTCCAACCTCTGTCGGAACTTCGTTAGATCCCAGTGCTTTCTCATTGGACATCTGATGCACAGCCCTGATTATTTTTAATGGGAAACTGGAGCTCCAGGTCATTGTTTGCTTCCACCTGGGGTGCCCGCTGATGTCGGGGCCGGAAATTGTGGAAGGCCGAATGAGGACGCTTCTGAAGTTCTCGGCCCTGCGCTTCATAATTTGCGGTCTTTTCTTAAGATTCCTTGATCCGTCGGAATTGAGCAGTTACGCTGTTTCTTTGGTTGTGGGGCAGTAGACCGCCTTGACTGACGCGAAGAAATTTACTGTTGCATCGAAGCCCGCATATATTTGTATTTTTTCGGCCTTAAAATACATCCATGCGCTTTTCGTTCGTGTTTTTCAGGAGGCTTGTCATAATTGTCTGGACTAAGAGCTGGAAAAGATGAATATCAGGAGTAGGAAACATACAATGGTAAGTCACAATCAAAGCTGTCAAAACAATATTGAACCATGTATTATATGTATATGTATACATTGAAGGGTTACAGGCAGAGCCCTTGATGACCCTATTTATGTACAGTGCTTTCGCAGATTCATACTCAAAAATAAAATAAAATTGCAGGAATTTAAAATGTGATTGGATTACAGTTCAATCGTAATCATAAGGTAGTGCATAAGGTCACTGTAAATTAGTGCGGAAGATTGTATATGACAGATTTTACAAAACTGGCTGTGCATAGTCATGCTGTACAAGCCGATTTCTGTCGAAAACTAGACGAGCAAGTTTTCTTTTAAACACACAAACTGTGTCGGCCTGACAACCCCCTGGCTGAATGAAAATTTTCGTCGGTCTAAACGCGTGCGCTCATTCCCGACTTTGTATGCATGTCCGCGTAGTTGGTTTGTACGGGCAAACTCAAAGAAGTCCTCCGCTCTTAATGAGCAACCCTGGCCGCGAACAATCCGGAACGTCCAGAGAAGACTGCAGTTTATTTGTCTATAAGAGAGAGGGAATAGACCAAGCAAATTCAGCCTCTCCTGACAAGACAAATGCTTCAGACAGTCGACCATGTTTGTCGCTCTGCGTTGCACCTGTTCGAGTAAGTTGATATCCTTCCTCATCCATGGTAAAGCTGCTGGCATTCCATACTCTAGATGAGGTCTTACAAAGACACCAAAGAGTCTTTCGAAAAGTTCGGGAGGAAATATTTTAAATGCACGTCTGATCCAGTGTAGAGTACTAGTTGCCTTCTGGACCTTCTTGTGAAGGTGACATTATAGGGGTAGTAGTCGACTGTTCACTAATACCTAATATAGTTTTATATATGTTTAATATGCTCTTAATATAGACTTACACACAACTAATATGCATGGTTTTATCGAAAGGGATGTTATTATTAGCCCTTTAAGGGATAGTTAGTGCCAGGTGACGTTGCTGATGGAAACGAGAAAGGGAGGGAAGAAAGAATATCACAATCTGTTCTATGTTTATCAATGATGCTGTCTTTCATAAATTTGATTGTTTTTAGCGCTATTTTCCGGTATTATTCAAGCGACTAGCATCATCAGAGCCCTTTTGGACCAAATTATATATCAAAGAATTGACTTGAAAAATATTCTCTCTTATTCAAAAATAAATGCGTATTGCTATTTAAGAGGAATTTCTTAGTTTTTATTTTAAACTCGATGAGGGTTCGACTTTTCCGGATAGAACTTGGAAGAGCGTTCCAGATAGTCGCATACCTTATGGAGTAGAAATATGACCGTTGGACTTTGTGAATCTGGGGATCCTTATAATATCTCCGTTATTTCGGGTGTTTCTGGGGGCGTTTTGGTTTGTTAGTAAGTTTATTTTGAGAATATCTAGAGCATGGGTGACCCTGGACAGGAAGTTTAGACCATTTTGACGTCTTCTGATCCAGGGGGTCGAAGACCGTGTTTATGATATAGTTCTAAGTATGAACTCTAAGTGCTATCTCTCTGGAGGCCGTTAGATTAGGGAAAAACTACCAGCGGACGCGGTGTCACGGACACTATTGATACGTATAAATATAAACTGGACACTCATTTGCTCAGAAACCTGGCTGTATCGGTGGATGCAGTGTGAATGATCCACACATGCTGATGACACTTTCTGCATTCACTGCCGTAAATGAAGGGCTTGAGTGAGGATTTGAAACGTCTGACCATCAAATTTCTTATTCCACCGATCGCATCCCTTCCTTCGAACTTGCTTTCCGGTACTCGTCCCTTCGCTTCTATCAAAAAATTGCGTAAAGACTAATATGCTTTTTTTCAAGATATGAACAGGGACATTAAAGGCGAAAGCCTGGTTCCCTGAATAAAGTGACCAGAAGGATTGACAATCAGACACCTACAATACTTTTACCGGTATTTGGTAGGGCTCCAGAGACTTCGATTCGTTTAGCACAGATACTTCTGTTCCCACAAATATGTGCTTTTTGTGCCTGTGTCATTACTTCAAGTGTGAAAGCGTACCCGTTTAAAATCATTTTCACGTACCCGAAAACGCGGCTTTGGTGTTCGGCTTTGTGGCCATTTGCGGTAGATCCTCACTGTTTTATCCTTTCAATACTACGACCGCCTTTTTACTCTTTAGTGTACTGCTGACACAACTAAAGTGTAACTCCATCACAAAAAGGGCTCCTCAAATAACATCCTCTGGTTTCGATCAGGATGCAAGAGTGACAAGGAGCTAGTAGCTGGGTGTAGTAATCTTGCTATGTACATCACCGCTTATGACATTATTCTTCTGCATCGGAGGGCCGAGTTAGGTCAGTATATCTTAAGGGTAGTAGGCAATGTCTTTGAAAACCGTATTGAAAATGGTACACGCAATATCTTACTTTGAATAGATATGGTACTAAAATGTTGTCAGTAATATATACACTTAACGGAATGTTCTCCCCCAAAAATGCAGGACCAATACCCGCGAACATTCACTTGTAGATGATAACGGTAAATTAAAATGATCATCATCCGCATTATCGGTAGATGTGTGCAAGGCGTTAGTTTGGCACAAAAGAACTGTTCGCTCCAGGTAAGCGGCATTTTTCAAACAAATATACATGTATTCTTTGCTTGAATGCCTCCGTGGAATCCGTCATTATTACGTCCTCGGGAAGCCCGTTCCAGACAGCGTCGACTCTCTGTGAAAAAGAGTATCTGTGAACGTCAAGGCGGCATGGGGATCTTCTAAATTTTAGAGAGTTCCTACGCAGGTTTGTTGCTGTGACCAGGGTGAAGAAATTGTCGAGGTTTAGGGCACAGTCCCGGTTCCTCAATACCCGATACGCCTCTATGACATCTCTTCAAATCTGCCTGTACTCAGGAGGAAATAGTTTAAGCTCACTAAGTCTGCAGTTGTAAGGTAAAGTTCTGAGGCCTATCACGATTTTTGTCACTCTCATCTGAACTTTTTCTAGAAACTTATAGTCCTTTTTTAGCCACGGGCGCCACGCTTGTATTCCATATTCCAGATGCGAACGAATGAAGGCTCCGTATACTTTTCCAAATAACTCTTTGTCTATGTCTATGAAAGTTCGTTTAATGGCAAAGAGAACACCAGTTGCGCTTTTGGCCGCCCTAACGCATTGAGAAGAAGGCTTAAGAGTCG